CCCCGCCCCCCCCCCCTCCCACCATCCCACTCTCCCTCGCTCATTGCTGCACCAAACCCCATGCCATCGTCACCTGGACGTCGGTGTACCGAGGGAGGGCGAGGAACCCCTCTCGGGAGGAAAATGGACGGTAGAGGAAAGGGACCCTCGGCGAAAAAAAGCCTCGGTGCTTTGCGGAGACTTGCGCCGAGAGGCGCGCCGCCGCTTCCCGGAAAGCGGAGCTGTCAATGGGCGAGGGGCGGGGCGGAGCGAATGAGCGGGGCTGGTGAGGGATGAAGGCAGTCGGGGAAGGGCGAACGGAAGGGGAGGGGGGGGGGGGGGGGGGGGGGGTGTTGCGAAGGGATGAGGGGAGATGTGTGTGTGGGGGGGGGAGGCCACCTGTCCCTGGCAGGGTTTCTCAATGGGGTTGAGGGACACTGGTGAGTTGCGCGCAAAACGCCTGAGCCCACCACGTGCTTCGAGCTCGCCGCGGCGGACCCCGAGGCGGCCCCCGAGGCGGTAATTACGCCAATTCCAAGGGAAGAGCCGAGGCTGCCGATGGAGACTCGGCGGCCCCTTCCCGCCGTTCGAGGGCCACGATGATCGACGAGGCTCGTAGGGGTTACCGTGGCTCGCGCGTCCTTACCCCAACCACCGCGCCGATCAACGACCGTGAGAATTCCGCGAGCGCGGGCTGTGCGTCTTCGAGCAGCCGATAATCCCAATACATTTTTCGAGCTGCTGGAAGTACGAAAATAGATGTCCCACTGGTGCGCCGTCCACCCGGCAGGGATGCATCCTTGCACGAGCTCGTGCCCTCAAGTATTACAGGCTCCACTCCACGCTTGCGAAAGCGGCGTGCGCGTGTCCTCCTACACCCCCTCCTCAGCTCCGCCAACGCAAACGCGAGCGTCACCACCACCGAATTCGAAGCGAGCTAGAGACGGCGGAGAGAGGGGAGAGGCAGCTGGCAAGAAGGAAAGAAGCGAGCCTACGGGACCAGCCGAGAGATGGTCGATCGTGCCTCTGGACCACGGCCTTACGCCCTAACGCGGTTGCTCGCGCGTGCGGCCCTTCCGCGTCCTTCCGGTACATGGCGGTCGTATGGCCGAGCCTCGGCCAACATCCTCCGGGATCCGAGAAGTCTGGTCCATCCCCGTAGGCGGACGGGTCGTCCGATGATACGCAGGAACGAGGGAATGTGGTTGTCGAGATGGGTTTATCAGCTCTTATATAGAGAGGGAATTGAACGGTTAAAAGGATCGATTCGATTATTCGGCCCTTGCCCTGCGGCTGCAGCAAAAGGCAGAGGGACAATCGAGGTCGCGCGGTCGCCGATGAGATCTTAGATTATCTCTGTCGTGGCGAAGGAATCCTTTAATCGGCATTTTAATATGTTTTCCCCGCGCCCTTGCGCGCTATTACACTTGGTACTTTTTGTACGAGGAGGAGGAGGAGGACGATGACGTACGTGGGGACGCGCGGGTCCGCTATAATTCTTAGGACACATAAACGCGGCGCGGCATCCTTTGTCAAGTGGGCAAAGTGGAAAGATCGCTCGCTTGAATTTATGAATTCTGAAACTGCGCACAAGTGACTAATAGTAATAACGAACGAAGCGGGCACCGTTTCGTGGACCCAAGGCCCGCTTTTCCGTTAAATTACTCGACGGGCGCGTAGCTCGCGAACGAGCTATTTGGTATAGAGGGGCGGGCGGGGCCGGGGGCGGAAAGACGAGAGAGACCGGGATCGTAGGAACTCGAGGGCCGGGATATTTCGTCGGCTTTGTGAATCGATGAATTAATGTAGCACCGCAAATCCAATTGACCGATCGAAATGTTCGAGTAGCAGGTAAAGGTGGAAATAGCGATGGGGACGGGCGTATATGCAGGAGGCGTTAATTGCAGAGCGAATCGGCCATTTGGCCCGGGGGAAAATTTCGTAATTCCGAGATTGGCGATAGTCTTGTAATGTAAAAATAAAATTCGGCTTCTAAAATTAAAAGGCACGAGAATAGAAAAACTTGGCGAATTGAGCATCGAACTTGAACTTGATGATTCTTAGTTATCTCAGCGAGTTTTCGACATTGTCGCACTCGTCGTGGCGCCTGATCCTCGATAATCTTCGTCCTCTTGAAATTTCCATTAAAATTCAAAGAAGAAAAGCAATAATGGAGTGCCAATTTTTTCCCTAGCATGCACATAAAATTAATTGCAATCTTTACTGTGATTGAAATGAATCGAGTGACCTAGTCATAAACTCGAATATAAAAGTACATAAATGTGGTACGTGTAAGGTGAAATTTGCTCGCTCCTTTATTCCTCCATTCCCGTCTCTATCCGCCGCTTTCCCTTCTCCCTTACTATTTTTTTTTTTTTTTTTTTTTATCTTTCTCTTTCTCTTTTCCACTTTTTTTTTCCCTTTTTTTTAACTTGTAAGGTGAAATTTGCTCGCTCCTTTATTCCTCCATTCCCGTCTCTATCCGCCGCTTTCCCTTCTCCCTTACTATTTTTTTTTTTTTTTTTTTTCATCTTTCTCTTTCTCTTTTCCATCTTTTTTTCCACTTATTTTCAACTTAAAATTTGTCTCCTTCTTCTTTCTTTCTTTATTTTTCTTTCTTTTTCATTCTCTTTTTTCTTTCCTTTTTAATTGTTCGATTCGATTCCAATGCTCGAGATACGTTTCCTCGTGTAAAATCGACATGGCAATGAAAAAAATATAATTATTTTTGATATATTGTATCGCGATGAGTCTGGATAGCTTGTAAATGTTACCCGCGTGCTAATATCAACGCCCATAGATAATAATTTGTATGGACGTGTAAACGCAGGCTCGATCACCTCGACACGTGGAGGCGGGAGTCACGTTGATTATTCAATGCCGAACAAGCGAGCTGACTATCTTAGACCGTAGGTAGGAGAGTTAGGGGAACGGGGCGGGAGGGAGTGGGGAAGAGGCGCGCATCGATATATTTGCCTTGGGCAAAAAGTTTGAAGAACGCAGGCCATTGCTTGTCTTTCAATTCCTCATTTGCTATGAGTTTTTCTGTTGTCCGCTGCCCTAGAGGCCGAGATGAAAAAATCGTTATTTTCGTGTTGAGGACAAGAGGGGCAGAGAAGCGCGACCTTGGCCATCGCATACTCGCAGCGCAAACTCTACGACATCCGAATGAATAAGCAATGAATTGCATAGCCAATACATTACCAATTAAAACGCATCGTAAGGGCCGATGGTTGGCTGAGAGTGGCAAACTATAAACAAGGAGAGACTATTGGCCAATTTGGGACGCGATTGTTGCCAATTCTGCTCCCCCCCCCTTCCAATTAATCCTCAACAAACACATAATGCAAATTATTAGGGCCTGAATAAACAGAATCGGCGCTGGAGGATGGTCCGTGCCCAGGTCGTCGCGACAATCACAGCACGAAATCGAGAGAAACGATGGGCCCTAACGTGATCGAGGCCCTAACGGACGTTGCAGAAAAGTTACGACGCGAAATTCCGACTTGTGGCACTAGGCCAAAGGACCGTACGTCGAAGTCTAGGAGGCCCCGTACAAGGGATATAAGGGATAAGACACTCAACCCCTCGCGGTAATCATCGAGAACAGGCGAGCGTTATCGTTTCCCACCAGGGCCCCACGACTGAAACGCGGGGCCAGCCGGTCGACATTTTCGCCAAGGTTAGTAACGGCCGGAGCAGCTGCGAGCGTGGCGACGTTCGACGCGCCGCGGAATACCGATGCACTTTCTCCAGCGGACGCGACTCAACACCACCCACCTACCCCACCCACCTACCGACCAACCAACGCAACCAGCCAACCGACCAATATCCACCACCCCCCCCACCCCTCTCTCGCTCTATCTCTCTCTCTCTCTCTCTCTCTCTCTCTCTCTCTCTCTCTATCACGCTTTACCACCCAAACACACACACACACACAGACACCCACCCTCGCACACTTCTGCACGCCCCCCCGCCCCCTCGGCGGCAGCAAAACAAAAACACGAGGGTCGCCGGGGTGGCCAGTGTTGATGCGACTGGACCGGGGACTCACCGTAGGCAGTTGGCAGGAGGCCGAGGAGGACGGCCGCGACCAGGAGGAGCCGCTGCCCCCTGGGGAGCCTCCGTCCCGGGCGCCGCTGCTGCTGCTGCTGATGCTGCTGCGGCGGCGGCATCTGGAGAGACCTTGGACGGGGGCTTCCTTTCTTCCTCCCTGCCTCCTCTTCTTCCTCCCTATCGTCCTTCCTTCCTTCCTTCCTTCCTTCCTTCCTTCCTTCCTTCCTTCCTTCCTTCCTTCCTTCCTTCCTTCCTTCCTTCCTTCCTTCCTTCCTTCCTTCCTTCCTTCCTTCCTTCCTTCCTTCCTTCCTTCCTTCCTTCCTTCCTTCCTTCCTTCCTTCCTTCCTTCCTTCCTTCCTTCCTTCCTTCCTTCCTTCCTTCCTTCCTTCCTTCCTTCCTTCCTTCCTTCCTTCCTTCCTTCCTTCCTTCCTTCCTTCCTTCCTTCCTTCCTTCCTCTACCGCGGCGCCGGCACACACTTCATCGGGAGGCACCAGTCGCGCGCACCACGGGCCTCCTCGTCGCGCGCTCACAAGTGGGTTATCGGGGGAGACCGGGGACCACCCGGGAGCACCTCGGGAGCACCTAGGGAGCGGAGCCTGAAGTCGGGAATCGGCTGGGCAGCCGCCGCGTGAGCGGTGGCGAGCGGGACGGGTTCTCACTCTCTTCAGAGGGTGGTTGTGGGGCTGGGGATGACGTGGGCGGTTAAGGGTGGAGAGGGGAAGGACGGGGGTTGGGTTGTCACTGAGACCGGCTCGACGTCACTTGACCGCGCACATCACGCCGCTCGGTGGTGCGCGTCGCTGGGGCGCCGCCGTCCTGGGACCGCGTGTCTTCCTCTCGCTCGGCACGTACAAGCACACGCGGCGAATCATGAACCGGAGCACCGGGGCGATTGTCAGGGCGAGCTCTCGGTTGCCACTCGCGGATTCGAGGTGAGACACGAGACGAGACACGAGACGAGACACGAGACGAGACACCAGACGAGACACCAGAAGAGCCAGATCCGGGCCTGTCGAGACGAGCGCGACTGGGGCTTCGTCGCCCGGGGCTCTGGAGGAGCGGAGCCGAGGGGTAAGTTAATGGGTGTTCGCTCGGCGCCCGTGTGTACACACAAGAGAGCAGCCAGACCGCGTCCGGAGCACGTCTGTCGCTCTATTGTTCGCTTTAACGCGCTGAAAGTAGTCCCCTGGCAAGCTGCGCGCGCATCGCCCGCTCGCCTCCACACGCTAGTGTTGGTGTGTGCGCGCGGCCGCGCCGAGGGACTGGATGATGCCCGCGCGTAGGAAAAAGGCCCGGTGCTACGCGTTCGGCGGTCCGTTCGCCCGCAGCCGTCTAGCGCCGCCTCGGAGGCCCGGTGCGCCGCCGCTTTAGGGGTGCCAATGGGCTCAGGGGTGGGGGACACCATACTCTAACACCCCCAGTCGTCCCGGGGATGAAGCGTTTTTTCAGAGCCGTTTCTGTTTTCCGGGTACCGCTATCTCCGCCACTGGCACCTCGGCACCGCCACCGCCACCGTCGCCGCCACTATCACCACCGCTACCTTCGTGAAAAAAATCAGGGCCGCGAATGTATGACCTACCGACCCATTACCGAGCCTCTTTGCCGTCCTTACGACCGAATCTTCGGAACCACACCCCCCCCCCTCCATACACAGCCCCTCTCCCTGACCATAGGCTTCAATGATCGCCACTTTCTGCCACTCCTCGTCGCGCAGGAACTTTGACAAATAAGGCCCCGTTGGTTAACGAGCATCGCCCAATGTTTACATCCACTGACTATTTGCTCCCCGATTCAACGCACATACAAAACCACCGTTATTACGAGACCAGATCCTTTAATTAATTTGTTCCTTTATCCTTTATTCTTTAACGATTAATACATCACCACCCCTTCCCCTCCACTAGCCGGAACATTTCTGCCCGGCGCAGAGTCGATTATCTTAACGATTACACTAAAAAGAGATAAATTTCCATTGTACCAGCTCTAATTTGTGCTAATGCTTCTTCGATCCTTATTCATTAAAATAAATCGAACTTTCACGTATTTATTTATAACACTATCGTTATTTCAGCTTTAGGAACAATTAACTAAGTCGATTATTTAGCGGTATTTGCATCGATACAAATTTATTATAAATATAAACACTATATTATAAGGTATATATAAAGCTGAATTATAGGTCCTTGTGATTTTCCGAATACCGCTATAGTACCCATCCCTTCTTTATCTTAATGGCTTTTATTAATAAATGAATTAATCGTTAGAATCATATACATTATTATCAAATGCATTGCCATTAATTGATGCAAACATAAAAAATGAAAGTTCAAATTCTCATGCGCATAATACATGGTGGGAGCAACAAGTAGATTTACAGGACCATTGCATCGCAATATTTATTTCTACGTGAAATTAATTTGATAGAATCCTACAACATTTAATCAGCCATTAACATATAAAGAATACTGAATCCTTCGTTAAATATCAAATAAAATCGACGAAATAAGATTTATAAAAATCACTTAAATCACCAAACGAATAATAAATAGGACTAAACGAAAATTAATGCGAAATCGATAGTTTGCAGTAAAAATTATTGCATTAAATGTTTATAAAGGAATTGTTTTATTATGATAATTAAAATTACTTTAAATTTCCCAAACTTTAATCTCGAATAATCATATAAATACAATATGCATTGAATAGTGTAAAATATAAAATCCACTGACTCGTAATTCACTTGTCGTACGCATACATATTAATAATCTAAGCTTATGAACATTACATCTTGTATCATTATGAAACAGTACGGTATTCAAATTAGTAATTATTATTAATAATATTATTTTTAAAGTATCACTCGTTCCCTCCTGCGCCATAGTTACGAGCTTATTGCGACAATTAGTTTTTAAATTGTCTTCCAGGAGCGTCCGTATTTAGGCTTATGACAAATTAATATTTTTAATTGTTATGTATCGGTTATTATTTTAATGACGTATTAACATATTCCTGCATGAATTTTCGTAACATAAGCTTTTAGTTATAAATATATCAACTATTGGAAGTTTCAAATTTTTTAATTTCTTTGTAACTCATTATATTCTAATTAATTCTTTATGTAATATTTATTCGAAACATTACGAGTTGCTATGAGATTTATATTGGCGGTAAATTTTCACGGTTTTCTTCCGATACAGCAAAATTTTCGTTATGTGCATTGTATACCATGAATATATATACGAACATGTTGTACTCGACAATGTCGATTTAACTGTCTCGTTAAAAAAAAAAAAACACTTTAATTAACGCCTCTGAAGGAAGCTCTGACTCACAATGCAGTACCGTAAATTTAAATTTTAATATCACTCTGCCTTCTATTCAATTATAATGTTTGCGTTACTTTATGAAGAAATTAAAAGCAATTATATTGTGTTATACATTTAAATACATGTGTAGATTATGTATTTGGTGTGATAAGTCTACAAAATTTTCAAAATACGTTTTAAAATTTTACATTATTATCAATAGGAACTGAGCCGAGCCTAAGCCTTATTATTAATAGCAAATCCACTAATTTAATGAGAAATCAGCAACAATTTTTCAGCCTTTTACATTACACATCCACGCGCGCGCACGCACACGCGCACACACACACACACACACACACACACTAGCACACATTAGCACACACCCGCTTACGCACGCGTATGTGTTTATTTGTTTTTTTTTTTTTTTTTTGTGCCCGCGACTGTGTGTATACGTGAAATTAGAAAGCTGACAAAAATTTTTCGTGTACGTACATATATTATTTCAAAGCTTATTATAAACAGATAAATATTAAGTAAAAAGAAACGAATATGCATCGGCAAATTCACTTGAAAAATGTGGGAATCTTAGAAAAAAAAGTGATGAATTTCAATAATAATTTCCTTGGGTACGAAAAGCGTAACCTAGGTCGTTCCCAAACCTAGATACGAAGAATCACGACAGTAAATTATGCCGATATAGACATCAGTCAAGCTCAGCGAGAGAAAACGTATTTCTTCTCCTTTCTTCTCATACTCAAATTCTCACTTTTATACAGAATCATTATAATATGTTGACTTACTTAAAAAAAAAAATAAAAAAAAAAAACCATAAAAAAATAAAAATAAATATAAAAAATAAAATAAAACGAAATTGAAGAGGTAAAGATGTCAAAAGAAATTGTTTACAAAAAAAAATCATTAATTCGTGTGAAATGAACATTACAAGGCGGACATGAGATATTATTATTAGAGAAGATTTTGAAGAAAGTGTTGCAATAATACATAAAATAGCCCATAAAAATGTATCTGATCACTTTATTAATGAGAAAAGGAAAAGGAGAGGGAGGTGGAGGTTCGGGGGAGGGGGGGGGGGATATTCAACGCTCCTCGAATGGCTTGGGTAATTCTTACGAACTCGTAATTGAAGATCACTTTAACGAAATGAAGCTTGGACACAAATAGCTCCGAATTCCTGAAAATCCTTCCTTAATACTTACAAATTGCCTAGATGTCGCGTATCAGCAGTTGAATTCATTTTTCGCTCCTTCGATCGCGTGTAGCGCAAAAGTCACGTGGTGAGCTCCTCCTAGTAGCTTCGCATGCGAGCGCAATTGCCTAACGAATACAAATGCGAAATTATAATTCCATGTCTTTTATTTACATTCGGAGCTCTTTTGTGCGCATAGCTTTGTCGTGTCGTATCAAACCATTTACCAGTTGCATTTTCCAAGATACTAAGCAGAGTTAAGGTGCGTGAGTTAGCTTTACCCGAGCAATCAGCGATCTTGTATTATGTTCAATAATAACAAGCGCACAGGTGCGTAATGCTATTTGCCAATTTGCCTAGAAACATAAATTCTAATCAGTAGCAACTGAATTATTTTCAATACTTTGCGTGTAAAATTTATTGTGATTATCCGGGAGATTTTATATTAAAATATCTCTTCTTGAAAATGGACAGACATCAAATGATTCATCTTCTCGATGTGATAATTAATTATGTGTCGCGCTCCGCCCATTACAAATTGGTAATGCCCGGTACATCGAAATTATTATTAGTCAGTAATTCTTGATCTTATTAAAGTACTTCAGATAGTAATGGTAGCATAGAAGTGAAAATTATTAATTCTAAATTAAACGATCTTTCATATTTCAATACTTTTTCATATTTACAATACATAGCAAATGATGAAATTTCACGAATAAACAAATAGTTATTATTTGACGCTGTTTTTTATATACTACAATATCAGCGCTTATTATCAATATTTGTAATTTTACAATAAAAATCGTGATCGCGAGCCTTAATATTAGCAAGGAGTTTTTTAATAAATGATCGTACATTTATTAATTATTTTAGTAAATCTCGATATTTCGCTGATTTCTAAATAAAAATTATAATTTTCATGCGGGATACAATGTTGTGCAACATTTTTATTAAGCAAAGTAACTCTCTATGCGAAAGGTTATTTACTTTGCATTGCGTACATGTATCCGTGTGTGTTTTCGTGGCCAGACTTTCCGAGCACGAGTGTACGTAAATTTTACACTCATCAAAAAGTTAATATAGGAGTTTATCGAAGGTATTATCAAGCCAGAGATCTTATTATTGCATATTTATTCTCATCTTTTTCATTTGAGTGTCTAAAAACATCTTAACGCGAAAAATCGTAAAAAAATTCATTTAGCTTTTAAATTGAAATACACGAACAAAATGTATTAAAATAAAATTTTTAAATTTTATTAATATATTATTTACTGTATTAACTATGCATAAACTTTATTATAAGACATATAATTTATCTGGAGGAATAATTCAGGTTTTGTCAGTAAATCGGCAAAGTTTATTGGATTTAGGAATGATAAAATTTTTGTTCGATGAGTTAAATCAAATAAATTATTGTTCTTAATATACGAAATTTACATTTCATTTAAAATAATATTACTATTATGTATTAAAATATATAAACAAAATTGATTTTCTAATCCATTTGAGGGTTAAAATTATAAATAAACTCGTGAAATCAGATGTGTATAATGTATATAATGTTTATAAATAAATGTATGTAAATAAACGTATGCATAATTGTTGTTTTTTTTTTTTTTTTTTTTTTTATACAAAATATTTATGAAATTAATATCTAAATCAATGAATTAGGGAATGTTTATCTAACGAACAATTTTATTCCTAGACAATATAATATTCGTCTTATTTTTAAGAGATAATTATTATAAATTAAATATTAATTACTACTTACAACATTGTGAGAATTTTAATTGTTGCTCTTATAATTGACTCTGAATACGATAATTTTCATATATTTTCATTCGGCTTTACTAGCCCAAGATATACTTATTGGTCTTATTTAATATAATATCCTTTCAATATAATGCATCTATTGAAAATTTAAGGGCATTATCAGATTTTATTTATGATAGCAACATGTGTAGAATACATAAAATATGTTTAATTTACATTGGCGATTTACTAAAATTACAAAATAAGTGTTGAACAGCTTACGAGCAACCAAAACTAAAACTCGTGTCCTCTTGTTGTTAACAAACGATGATTGTATTCAAATTAAAAAAAAAAAATCCTTTCTTTAATAGTCACTGAATCCAAATTAAATAGATTGCTGAACTTTAAAGAAAGTTTGTTAAAGTTAAACGCTGCCAACAGCGTTTAAAAAAAAAAAAAACACTACAACAACAACTGAAGCCGCATAAAAATTATTTCGTAAAAAGAATTTTATATGTAAAAGAAAAATAATTTAATTTGATATTTTAGGTAAAATTATAAAATTTTTAATTAATAATTCGAATGTTTTAGTCTTACGGTAATGAAAATTAAAATGGATGATAATTGCTTTATAACAGTAATGTAACTTGAGAGAAAGTTCTGGTTCTTTAATAAATTACAGTATTTCAAAATCTTATATTTTTCTCAAAAATATGATGTGTTTACTTTGGTTTTTTTAAAAAAAAAAAAAATTTTTTAAACTAAACATTGATATTAAAAACCATAACATTTCAATAATGGGTACATGCGAATATCATAATTTCATTAATAAAGGAATTGAATTATTAATATCATATTTTGGAATTTATTAACAACTTTAGTAATCGTAGTCAAGGTACTTTGGTAGTTTGATCGATAAATTTACCTACCAAACAAGTGTATTGCTCGTGAATATGTCGGATCCAGTGCTTCCTCCGAATGAAAAATTAAATACTTTAAATATAAAAATAATAGAAATAAAAAAGAAAATACAACTGTCCGGTAAGTGTTAATTTAATATTTTAAATTACAATAGAAATTTTTTATATCTTCTTTGTATTTTTGTTAAACACTAGTTGCTCAAATATTATCACATTATGAATTTATTATATTAACAATATCAATACTGCATAATTAAATTCTTGTAAATATTTAAATATTACAATTTTATACCTGAACATGATTTATTTTACATTTCCGATCGCACTTTAAAATATGTCTTAATCTATAATTTTAACGTTTAAAGGTAATAAATGACAAAGAATATATGTTTTACTATCACTATAAAATATGTACCATGGCATCTTTCAGTTTATTTATATTTATTACTTTAAATTTAAATAATGTTATAAAGAGTGAAAAAAAAGTCATATGAATGAACTCCATGGATAACTTGAAATAAATAGATTTCAGATAATTCAAATTCATCCGAAGTAGAATAAAAATTTCATCTTACTTGTTCATATATGCTTTTTCAAAAATTTTATACTAACATTTTCGATCTCCTACAACAATCACCAACTCTCTAATAAAATCTTTCTCTATTCAACTCTATTTTTACGGCCACGTGATAGTACTTGACGGCTCAGTGATATTACACTTTTTATAAGGTATTTAAATTAATAAAGTTCTATTACAATTTGCATAATATAGAATTGATTTTTATTCGCTGAACAATTGCTTCGCTTTAAAACAAACAATGATATTAGAAAATAATAATTGAAAGCTTTTGCAAACCATTTTTACGAACGTTGTAATTTTTAATTTTGGTTGTATTTTTGTTTTTAATAATATTATTAATTAATTAATTGTTAACAGTCAAAATAATTAAAATTAAAGTAATTACATTTTTAAGAGAGGGAGTAAAGAGAGTAAAAAATGGAAAAATGGGAGGCACTGTGAAATAGGAGAATGGCAAGGAAGGAGGGGAATGAGAAAAATTAAGATAAGAAAGATTTCTTTACATAAACTTGTAGCTAATGACCTAACATAAACAACTTCTGAAGAATTCATATTGATTCGAAAAATTAGAAAATTATTTTACATAAATTCTAAATGATGTAAAAATAAAATTAGTCTCATATTATTGTTGTTGTTGTTGTTGTTGTTGTTGTTGTTGTTGATATTGTTATCGGTGTTATTATTAATAATTTATTATCGTTATATTAAATGAGAGTACTAGATGACGCACGAGGCATTAAATATGCAGATTTCCCAACTACTTTTGTCAATCTCAAATTACAAGTGACGAATGAATTCTCGGAATAGGCCTTTCATTTTGTAATATTTAAATACTATTTCGGAAGCTGTATGTAGGATATCGTAATTCAACATGTAAATTGGTTGTAAAATGTAAACGAAAGCTTTGTTGCAGTTGTTGAAATAAATGTGCGAATAAATGTAGGCAATAGTAGAAACCTGAGAATTAAATATAGAATTGATAAAATACGAGTGATATAAGCAGCCGATTTTGTAAAAAATTTTTTTCATTGCTTCGGGCGAGTGCCTGAGAAAGGATTGCGGTATGTGTTACGTATTTTGAGAAATTGGTCGCTCGCTATGACACTTAAAATGTTAAATTTATGCGCTCGATTCGCAGTAGCGACGAGGCTAATTTAAAACGTAGAAAAAGCCAGGTATATCGTAAAATCGGCTAACATGCCACGAGCCTCCAAAATCGTTAAAGTTGGGCAGTCCACTTCGTTGAACGGGCCCCTGCAAAATGTGAATCCATCGATCAGCTGAGCTGGGCTGTACCGCATCAGTCTTCCCAACACCTGAGGAGTACGCGTATGCGTGTCTCGGGCCAGCAACGGATCGTTATTGTTGAGAAGCAAGGAAAAAGAAAGAGCGAATTAGAGAGAGAGAGAGAGAGAGAGAGAGAGAGAGTCTTGTCCTTTAAAAGAGAGGAGCACGGTTCCTTTTAATTGGTCTCATTAATTCGGCATCGATCGCGGCCTCCACTTTTTGCGGGCTTAACGAAAAATCGGATAAAAGCCGGGCGAGCGTAAAAAGTCGTCGTCGTCGTTGTCGTCGTCGTCGTCGTCGTCGTCGTCGTCGCCGTCGTCGTCCTCGTCGTCATCGTCGTCGTCTTCTAGAACGTTTAAAAGTCAATGCAATCAATGTAATTGATAACGGTTCTTACCGATCGGCGACATCACGATGCGCGAGCGCGATGATGAGAAAAATGGGATCATTCCCGAGGCTCTTTAGGAGCATCAGCCGGCTTTAGAGCTGAATTTTTTAACGGTATCGATGCAATCATTACGATCATCGGGTTCGTGCTCGAGAGAATTCTGCTTGTAAATGGGTTCTTTCGACTTTTAATGAAAACTAATGTCATTGCTTTGTTAAAGTACAGTGCCGCGGGTTTTCCAACTGATTAGAATAGGAATAATATTATTTTAATTATTAATTTACGTATATTATTCGTAACAGGCGATATTTGCAATTTCATATAGAATTATCCTTTACTATGACTTGATTAATATCTTTCGTAAAGAATTGCCAATAAAGTTTATTACGGAAGATCGACCCGCGGCAAATAAATTATAGTGCTAATTTAAAAGTAAGTTGTAAGTTTTATGATTCAGTAAACTTAACCGCTCATTTATAAATTTGAATTTAATAATAAATAATAAAATTCTGATTGCCCTTTAAAAGTGATTTGAATTATATATACTAAACTGTAAAAATTTAGCAGACAGTTACATCTCTATTTTATGATTTTTAGAATACTCAAATTGATATTGTATAGGTCATAATATGATTTTTATATTTCATAAAAATCACTTCATTTTATAGATTGTTTCGCTTGTCTTTTATCTTAGCTTATATAAACTCTTATAGTTAAAGAAATAATATTTATAAAATGAGAAATAATTGTTCATAAGTAAATGATTAGAGCCTTTTGTTGAGAAAATTAATGTTTAATATTATTTGACGTAATTTTTCAACTATAAATTTGTCTTTGACATACTAATTTATATATACATACAATGCCAAATATTATATTTGATGTGTTAATTATATATATATATATATATATATATATATTTAATTAAACAGATATTTATGTGTCATTGTTATTTTATATGGTATAAAAGAAATTTATACTATTAGAGCCAATGATAAACAAAAAATTGAATTATGCCGGAAATATAATTTTATTTAATAATTTTTCCTAATGCTAAATACAAATGCGATATAGTCTTTAATACTTTTTAATCGCTTATATATTTTTAGTTAATTTTAATAGAAATATTCATTTATACGAGTTATTCTTAACAATTATCCGTGACTAAAATTTTCATTTATTAAAAAACAATATGAAATTAGATAAAATGTCGATATTGTTCTATATAATAATGATATATAAAGTACGTGACTTTTCAGCAATAATTATACAATCGCATCTATCCATACATTCTTAATTACAGAATAAAATGCGTTAGACCAATTGGTTAAACATCCATTGCCAAACTCAAATTGATTTATTACAATTGTAATAGTCAAAAGCATTTATTTTACATTTTAAACACCTTTGATAGAAGTTTCGCCTAAATAAACAAGCCACTAAGAAAGACATATGACATAGTAATGAAATCTACCTAAGAAAACACTGTCGAGCACTCGACGTAAGAATTACCATACTTTTTCCTTGTCTTTCGTCATTCTATAAGAATTCTATAAGAATATAAGAATATTCTAAAGAAGAATAAAAGAAGGAGAAGAAAAAAAAATGATCTAACGTGGCCTATAATCGCAACTATTGCGATTGGCAACCAAGTTGCAATGAATGACAGCGAGGAACGTACGGAGAGGGAGATGAAGTGGACGTTGGGGGGTGGGCGAAGCCATCGATCGATGCTGCCCCTGTGAGGTCCGGGTGCGAGGCCGCGAGCCTAGCACTAATAACAGGTGAGTTCCCGCCCCCCTTTTAATGCGCATTATTGCTTGCAGAGGGCCAGCGGAAGGCAAATTTCGAGGAATGCGACGCAAAGAAGCGAGAGAGCTCGGAGAGGATTGGCCGACTGAAGCGGGAAGTCAAGGAGCTGCAAGTGGAATTCGCTAAGGCTAAGAATGTACTTTAATTGACATTCAGACGTATGACCCTTGGGCCGAAAGCGCGTTGCAGCATTAAAACAGCCGCCGCGTATGGCAATTATGCGGCGAAATATTCACGTTGCGCGCGCGTGCGCGCGCGACTTCTCTACCCTCGACAGTCGCAAGTCCGACGATATCATCTTTTATAAGTAATCTAAGGACTGGGACGGGTGGGGGAAGGACGCGTAAATAATTGCTTTGCGGCTTCGTGTGGATTCCTCTTTTCTCGATTTTGCTGAAAAATTTTATTTTCTCCTTTCACTTCCCAGCGCGGCCTTATCCCATCTCCTCCTTCCTTTTTCAACCGAACTATTTCAAAGGATTAAGAACAGAAATGTGTTATTATGGATATATTGCAAATCAGTCTAACATTTCAACCACAACGAGCATTTAAAAATATGCTTATTTTGGATTTATTGTACCTTGTATTATCATATTATATATTCTTTAGATCAAAATAATTAAAGCATAACCAGCCATTAACAATGTTGCGTTTGTTAAGATTTGTGGCGTCTTTACCTCACTGCACTGCAGGTCACGTGAGATTTTGTGATTAAAAGAAAATAATAATAATAATAATAACGATAAATAAATGATGATTTAACGTTTTTACATAATAAATTAACCGGTACAATTATGTTTATTATCCAGTAAATCATAAATAACTTAATAGTAGGCTTTAATAAAGTATAAACTTTATTAAACTAAAAATATGGCAATTATATTTTTTTATCGAGCGAAGGTATTTTTTATTGCCGCTTAACGTTTAATTTAAAATCCATTGAAAATTGTTTGATCCTTTGTGAAAAATATTGCCTTGCCGTTTTAGAATAATTTTGTTAGTTATGCCGGGCCACAAATTTTAACGGATAGACCTAAGTTATTGATGTATTAAATAAATGACGAATTTATCAAATATGTCCTTTCCATTTTTGTAAATAATAATTTGTCATTTTACAAGTGAATTCCCATTGCTTATTATGTATGATATAGTTGATCCCTAACGATAACGAGTTGAGAAATTGATTAGATATATTTTAATTTGACATCCACAATGTTTGTCGTATAGAGATATAAAAGGCAAATTTAATGATATGTAATTGCGAAATCTTTACCAAATAAAATCTGATTTTTAAAATTCCAATTTACACAACGGTCAGATGTAAATAATGTTTGTAAGGATAAATAAAATTAATATTGATATTACATTACAATGTTTCATAGTGTTTTGACGTTAAATACTGTTAAATCAATTATTTGGATCAGTTTTTATTTTTATTTCAAGCGGCCCATTAAGATAAATTCATCATATTATAATTTATATTTGTATAATTGTAAATCATAAAAATTTGCACATTTCTTTCTTTCTTTTATTTCTTTTTTTTAATGAACCACCACATAAGATTAATCTGGCGTAAGACGTATCCTTTGACTTTGAGAAATCTAACTATGAACATAAGTTTTTAAAAGGATTTTTTTTTCTTTTTTTTTCTTTTTTTTTTTAACGGAGAAAAAACGATAAAATCTTATTAAGTGGACAACAAATAAGTGTCAACCGATGCTATTAAAGGTAATAATAGGTAAGAGCATAGATTTGTACAAGATGTAATTTTAGAAAGCGCATCAAACGAACAACGCTCGACTAAATTGACAATAAATTCACGCGTCACTTCCGTTGGCTTCGATCTTTCAAATACGAATATTTCTCACAGTTAATATTAAGTTTATCGAAATTGCGTCAATGAGTAACAAGTCGTTCTTCACTTCGTAGAACGACGAAGCAATTTTGCAGGCTGTGCATCTCAATTGTAAGTCTTCCGCGTACGTGAAGAAGCGAAACCTCCAGGAGGCCAAAGTCACGCTCGACCAGGACAACATTTGTCTGCGCAAGAAACTTGACTTGATCAAGTACCAGAGTGACAAGGTATTATACCTTTTTTTCCTTTATTTACGATTCACGCTTCAGCCCGTACGTCCGCCAAATTTTTCCCTGCGGCCAGCTTTTTTTCGCATCCGATATATTTATTTTTGGCTATGCCGAACGATACGTGGAAGAATGCGAGACGCACGGATGAAAATCACGTGGACAAGAAAATTATGGATAACTTTAACTGTTAAGTGAACCCTTTGACTTTAAATGCATTGATAACGGTAGATTATTAAATTTTGACCGCAAATTCTCACTTTGAATATTCGCTTGATCGGACGTTTGGGAACAGTTATGCAACAGTTAAGTGCTCGTTTACTGCGGCATTTATATATATATATATATATATATTTTTTTTTTAATTATTCTACGTATTTTTATGGAGTTTAATTTTCTCATACAAATACATACCGTTTCATTATTTAGAATTGTCTAATAAGTAAATAAATGCATAAAATTATTGTTTGAACAGCAAAAAAACAAATTATCGTCGCTCTTAGAAGAATACGAGAAGCTTGCAAATGGGAAGTCGGAGAAACTTGGGCCAATAAATTCATCGAAATATCCGATGAAAAAGGTCGGTTGAAACAAATGTTAATAGCTATAAGCACTTGTGTCGATAATTTTTGGAATCACTCCAATTAGAAAAACAAAAACAAAAAAAACAAAGAGGAAAAAAAGAAAACTTTATTAATTTTCCAAGCATGCGATCGTGACAGTATATGATCAACAACCTACGAATTAATGTTATTTTCACCTCAGAAAATCATTAGACTGGAAAATCAGCTGCACCGTGTGAGCATAATGCAAATGGAGGCGGACACCATACGCAAAAAATACAAATCCATCAGCTCCAGTTTAAGGATGGATGCTTCATTTTACGCATCGTACCTCGATAAGCTGGATAAGAACATTAGTAATCAAGTAATCGAGATCAAACGACTCCAGGTCACAATTACTTATTTGATTAAATTTCCTACTTTTTGTACACTTAATTCGGTAAGGAATTATTGAATGTTTATTTGTTAGAAAATAAAAGAAGAGGCTATCGAAGTAAGGGATGCCACGAAAGAAGCTTTAATAGAGCAGGAAATTGAAGCAATGCGCGCATCAAGGGAACGAGAAATTTTAATTCAAGAGTACAGGTGATCTAACGCTCGAATGACTATTTAGAACGTTGATTCAACTTTGCTTAAGTTTAACTGTGCATAAAATGCCACTTGATAAATTTTCTCCCATTCAAACACGTATGCGTAATTAAAATGCAAAAAGATTAAATTAATTTCAATTAAATACTTACGGAAAATGACATTTCAAATGAGTGAATATTTATCTAAGTAGAAATATCATTAGTGTGACAATATTTTATATACACAGTTTATCATCTTTATTTAAATTATTATGAAACGGGAGTCAGTTAAAAATTGAAATATTCTTGGATTTAAACAAATCTCCATTCTACTAATTTCAAGAGTTATTTTAATTTATTAATATAAATTTCATATCGTAAGAGTTGCGATTTACATGTCATTCTTATATTACTATTTAATAAATGTTAATTTATATAGAGCACTACTTAAAAGGTTAATTGTATGGTTGTATATATATATATATATATATATATATATATGTATGTATGTATGTATATTTGCAATGATCAAATTCTTTATTCCTGGCTAATTTTAATTCTTTATATCGTATGTGATGTATTTATAATTAAATCCCTTTGTAATATCTAATAGAACGAACACGGCCTTGTTCTTACAATATATAAGTCTGTATTATTTTTGCAGGTGTGAATACTATCGAATTTTCAAAATTTTATTTTTTTATTCTTCTCCCCGGCTTTCCATCGCATCTCTCTCTCTCTCTCTCTCTCTCTCTCTCTCTCTCTCTCCTCCTCCTCATCACGCACGCACGCGTACTTCTTTTCTCTCAAGTTACAGTAAGTAGCATAAAGATAATTTTCTTACATATAATTTAACATACTGTTCATCATAAAATTATTGTGTATACATTTTTCATAATTAGTGCTTCAATATTCCAAATTTCATGTATAAAGATTAGTACTTAGCGTATTGCTCATTTATATTAAAAAATAATAAATAAATTATTTACATAAAAATCAACTGTTATCTCATACACATTTGGCATTTGTATTGTTACATAGGACGACTGTATAATCATGCAAAATTTTAACGTACTCTTCTACTTTTTCATTAAAAAAATTCTCTATTACGTATTTATGTCTAATTTATCATTAAATTCGTTATATTACGCATATCAACAGACGTCGATAAATCATTGATCTCTTTTAATTTAAGATCCAGTAACATGTGCTATCCGACGCGCAGTTGGATCAAATAAATATTTCAACTTTGTCATTTTTACAACTTACAATTTCTATGCTAAATTTCTAACTAAGCATAGAAATATTTTCATACTTCATCCACATTCTTATTTTTCTCTATAATAGATAATGGAATATTAGTTTCTCAATACATTTGTGCGTAACTTCGCTAATCACTAAATTTTTTTTTTAATGAATTTTATTATTTAACTCATCACGTTTCTTACATTTAGAATACATAAATCCAGTGGAGATAATTACATTTGTATTTGATTGAGAGAATTAAGTGTGAGAGATAATTTATGTGATGCCAGTTGTTCATCCATCAGTTTTTTTCATATTTGCATACTATCTTATCTCCCATCAATTCAACAATATTCTTTTACATATAGTATTCTCATAATTTTATATTACTTTTCACAACTAAATAACTGATTGATACTGCCAGCAATGACATCTATAAAGGCAACAATTTTTCATTTTATGAGAACATTTATTAAAATTTCCCTCTTATATTTGGATTAAATATTAAATTATAAACATATTTACAAACTTTTATATAAAACAATGAAAAAGTTAATGTACTTAATGTAAATGCATTGAATTGTAAAAGGCAGTTTGTATCTTGTCAGAGATATTCCTCAATTTTCTTATACATATTCATTATTTTATACTCCAACTAATTATATGAACTAATTAATCCTAATTAATTTATACTTACTTTTCCAAAAGACATTATCGTGTAATTTGTAAGAAAAAGTTTATAAGTATAGAAAAATTATTAATTATTAAAAAATTAAAAAATTAAAAATTACTTATTATTTATAAGTACAGAAAAATGTTAATAAGCATATAATACAATAAATTATTTTATATACCTAATACTAGTACATTTTTAAAAAGCATTTTAGACGTATACTTTTATAATTTCGTATTTTATAATTTTATAAAATAATAAACTGAACTTGTGAGAAAATTTTAATTTATAAATTATTAGTATCCGCAAAAGCTATAAACTATTTTACGATTATTTTATTATACTAAACGTATATAATATATACATAACTATCTTAGTAATAAGTAGTAATTAATAAACAACTATTTGCAGAAAATGCGTAGAAGATCGAAAAATGGATTTGGAACGACTAGAGCGATCGATATTCCCGACAAAGTCGTTTGGTCGAGATGATTTGAACGCAGATCAGAAATCTCAGATTGAAGAGGATGTCTTGCAGAATGAAATGGATCTCTTGGAAGAAGTGTTTATAAAATTGCGTAATGCAACTGGAGTGTCAAAAACCGAGGACGTGCTTAATCGTTTCCTAATGCAACAAGCAACGCAAGAAAAATTAAAAAGGCTACAAAGAACAACGGAGAAGAAGAAAGTCGAACTTGAAAAGACAAGGCAGCAGATGACCGCCGAGATCGAGATGCAGAAATTTTCCGAGACCAAAGATACCGATCAGTAAGATGATTATGTCATAATTGGAACTAAAACGATCATGTTAGTATTCAAAGAATATAAGTAAAAAAATTGAGAAAATGATATTGGTGCTTACAATATTTTATTTTCGACTTTTAAAATTCATTTACAACATTGCATTTTTATAGATAAATAATAATACACATACACTGCACTTTTTATCACATAATTATGAATATTTATTCAAATTATTATGCTTGTAGTTATAAACCAATGAATAATTTTCGTTATACTGAAACTTTTCAACAATTTAAAAAACAAATTAGTAAAAATATTTTAGAAATAAAGATAATGTCATTCTAATTTCCTCACTGAAATAAAATAGTTTCTAATAAATATTATAGTATAAATAATTTCCGATTTTTTGTAAATGAAATTGATTGATTTTTTTTTCTTTAATATTTTATATAAATCTTGCCTATATATTTGGTCATTTTGTTATTTCACATTATAGAAATACAGAAAAACTTGAAAAACTGAGTAAACAAATGCATGAGCAATCCCTTCGTCAAGAAATGGCTGCAGAGAAACTGAAGTTGTTTGAGAATTTACTAAAAGAAGTCAAACAGAAACTTCTGACATTTTGTGATAAATTTGAAGTAAGTTAAATATAATCTTATACATAATAAATAGATTTAATTATTAATGACTGTATAGCATCTTATAGGTGTGTAATAAATAAAATTAAAACTTAAGTGCTTAATGCGATTAAATCCTAATATTTTTTCAAATTATTACAAATTATATAATTTTAAGCTTTAAAATATAAGATGATTTTTTAGTAGATATATCTTTCAATAAGAAATATAATTAAATCATTACTAATTAAAGTAAGAAATATATTAATAAGGTAGGATCTTTGACCACAATGTATCAAAAAATTCAATCAACTATTTCTGTGACAAAAAAAAACGAATTATAATCGAAAAATAAATCCGTAGCGTTAAAGATCGGTGTAATGGATGTAATAATATCGACTGCTCTTCAAATTCACGTACAGAAGACTGAGTGAATCAGATATATATATATATATATATATATGTATATATATATATATATATATATATATATATATATATATATAGAGAGAGAGAGTGAGAGAGAGAGAGATACAAAATACTAAGAAAGACGAGTATGTATGATGTTTATCGTTGAAGTAATTGTTTTCAGAATATAATCCCGCGTGTCCCAATATGTATGTGAAATACATTTGTACGTATCACACTTCCGTCCGGCTTACCTGCGCTGCGGAATTTTGCACATCTCTGCTTTGGTCGTATAAATCTTGGCATTCAAAATTGTTTGACAGTAGAATTAAATTTAAATACGCTAATAAATAATGACTTGCGATTGTGGCACTAATAAGGAGGAAACAATTTATTCGGAATCACAGGAAAAATAAGCGCTGATCGTAAAGACCAGACCGACGATTTAAATTCGAATTTACATATTAAGATATTTAAATGTTAAGGTAAGGTTAAAATGTAAGTAATGTATTCTAAATGATCTTGAGATGGCTTACCGCATTTTCTTTTTCATTTCCGTAGCCTTGCTCACTTCTTTCTATTCTTTAAGACTCGCTAGTTCGATAATAAGAAGTGACGTGGTTGTTTCATCGAATTCCTCATATCTCGCTCATATGTCTTTGATATTTTAAGTCCCGTCTGTAATTATATTTTTATATTTTTGAATTTACGAGTTTTTGCGATTCGCATGCATCCTCTACACTTGTTCCAACAGATAAGTAGCCACATTTGATATAATAAATCTATAATCGATTATATATATCATACAAGATCATACGAGATGAGCCTAATTTTAAGAATTTTCGCCAATACAATGTAAAAATTAACGAATTACCTTTATCAATCTTTTCTTAACAATTCTAAAACAATACTCTAAATTTAAATTACAAAAATTCGTTGCCTTCATTAAAGGTAATGTGAAAAAAGAGAAAGTTTTTAAAATAAATGTATAATAAATGTTTTGTAATAAACATAGAACAAGAAATATTCGTTAAATTGAATGATCCTTGGAATACATTTAAAACTTCAATTTCATTGGTTAAACCTTGCTGTTGTACAATATTCATTCGTTTTCGAATAAAATCAATTATCACCAATTCATTTTTATTACAATGGATTTACACATGCTATGTTCTAAGTCATCGATTGTACGAGAAATGTAAAATATCATTACTGGAGATGGATTAGCCTATTTTTATCGAAATTTCCAATTCTACAATTTATATAGAGAATATAAAAATCTTGCGCATTATACTATTGCAAGATTATATATATATATATATATATATATTTTTTTTTTATAAATATAAAACATTATTTAAATTATTGAATTCTAATGTAAATTGTTAAAAAGTAGTCATTGGATCTGTGATATTAAATAAAACAATTCTATTAATACGAATAATTGTTATTAAATCTCTGAAACATGTTGCATTCGCATTACTTTTATAGATATCTGAGCGATATTTTTGGGTTCGTATATATTCGTCATATGAATATCAAATTAACAAATATTTTTTAATTTTTGGATTATCAATAACGACAAAATACAATGTTTATATAAAAAATGAATGTAAAATTACTTGCCCCTGTACATTTATATTCTATCATTTGACCTTTAAATATACATATATTATCGTTTTTTATTTAGATACGGAGGGAAATAGTTATATTGGAAGCAGCAGAGACATCAAATATACATTGTCCAATGGAAGCTTTACACAAACTAAATGAGATTATTAATAAATTTATCGAAAAAATTGGGGACCCAATGAAATTCAAGAAACTTTCGGACGAAATTTTAAACAATAACGTAAGTTATTAAAGACGAATTTTCTACATAATTTCAAAAACATCCTATTAGATTATAATACTTTTTATAATCTTGAGACAGGATGAAGCCGTATTTACGGAAAGTGGTAACATGATAAATGATGATGATCAGCGCTTATTCCCCCATTTCTCGATCGTCGCAACTCCGGCCGCTCAACCTCAAGCTTCCGAAGACGAAGAGGACGTTCCATCGAGAAGCTCGCTTAAAAAACAGGCTCAGCTGCTGGTCGACACTAAAAGTCGGCGAAAAGGTTTCCCGATGAAAAGATGAAAAAAAGATGAAAAAAGCTTTAATAAGCTTTTATAATAAACTGACTTATAATGAATGTTTGTTAACTTATTGTGTAGCCTATTCAATAAAGCCAATTGGTTCGTTAATTTGCTTCTAGAATTTCATTCGCTGGTTATTGAAAACATTTCATTATCTTGTATTATAATACTATGGAGATGACCTTGTACACTAAAACTGATACTTTATATCATCAATCGTCAAGTGTTTACACTTACTTACACATTTGACGATCAATGAAAGTTATATAGTTATAATTAAGGATTCGATATTTTAATTATCATTATAGTATTAATGCTAAAAGGTTGAAAAATAAACGATCGCTTATATAGCAATACAATCAGATGCTTTACTGTGTCGAAAGTATTTTTACAAAGTATGAAGCAATAAGTAATTGTTATATATTTATTAATATAAGCTCATCATTTATCAGTGAAGTAAATTGATCAAAAGTTAAAAATGCAAGAGAAAATGTATCATCATTCTGCTCATCGACTGTAATATTTTTGACAATTGCATCACACAACATTTCCAAACTATATAATATCTATATAATATTCGTTAATTTCTAATATTAAGAAAATAAACAACCATATCAAATTCAATATAAAATAATTCATCTTTCAAAATCCTTTCAATAGCGTTAATTAATGCAACAAACTTCTAGCACATTTTTCAACCAAGACTTTTAAACTTTTCTGGCCATTGTAGATCAGCTATTTCATAAATATTTTAATGCAACATATAATCTGTAATTATATGAAAAATACAGTTTATTTAATTAATTTACAAGATGCATTTAAAAAATAATAATAATCATAATTATACAAAAATATATAACTACACAATATGTATAACTTACACCAATTATCAACTTATATATATTTATTAAATATTTTAATAAATAGTTAACACATCCGCTCCATTTAATTCTAAAACGCTTTATTTGTAAACAATACTGGCTAGAGTAATTTTAAAATTTAATGGGTTCACTAATATTTAATTATAACTTTACATTATCAGTTAATTAAAAGCTTAGATCTGATTAACATTCTTAAGACATTATAAAATATATCAAATTATAAAAAATATAGATACATAACATAAAACAATATTGGTATTAATACATTTTAAGATTTATTATGATTTTCTTAAATTATTTAGTATGATTTCATACTTCATACATTATTTTACAAGGATATATCTTCGACGATGAATCTTATGTAATATTCATGCCTAATTCAGTTAAAAATTCAAGTAAAAAATTACAAACCAACAAATCATATTACAAGTATATACTTTAGACACAATCATTATAAATACATATTCTATTTATTATTATAAATTTTCAATACTTTTAAAATTCTCTTATTTCATATTTCTTCGTAGAGACTTAGTCTCTCAATTCTATATAACTTTACTAAAGCCGTTGCATTAAGCGCTTTGCTTTGTTTAGAAATATTATTGGCAATTTGCAAAAATTATATAAATTTTCAGATATATTATATAGATATGCTTAATATAAATGATACAACAATAATGTGGTCGAATGCAACGAAAATTAGTGAGACTATTTTGTACTGGTTCGAAATAAAAATTTCTCAAATTGTAACAATTTAAGTGCTTGGACTTATTTAATGTCTAAATACATATGTAACTGTATACAATTATTACAATTAGACCATATCATACAGCATTATAATGTGAGATTTTTTTTCAAATTCCATCTTAGTTGTAGTATCATATGTATTATTTCAATTTTTATTAAATAATTTAATTATTTAAATATATTACATACATATAATAGTTAAACATTGCATTATAATTTATTTGAATATATCTGAAACAAAAAACCTTGCATAATAAAAGTTTTTATAATGTTTAGCGATGCTCTGATATATTGGATTTCCTTTCATAATATTATATTAAATTAAATATAAAATTAGAATAAAAGTTTTATATTTCAATTTTGTAATTAATCATTTTTTAGAATTACATTAGTTGCTGTATGTATACTATATAAAAAAAAAATATACAAACTATAAATATATATTGATGTATTTATATTTATTTATATCACATGGCTATATATATATATATATATATATATATATAGATATATATATATATATACACGGATATAAATAAATCATAAAATTTTATAGAGTAGATAAGTTAGATGCTACAATTAGTAATCTTATCCAAATAGATACAGTAAATGATGACATTATTCGTTCTCTAATGAAAAAAACTTGTATTTAAATGTTGATTATATGATAAGACATAATCAACGATTATTTGATAAATATTTTCCTTCGATTCAGCATTAACCATATATTAATTTTATATTTAATTCTGTTGAATTTAGTCCCATTTAAGATTTATAATGAATAATTATAATGAAACTTCTAAGCACAAAATAATTTCAAATATTAAAAAAATATTTTTAAAATAGACATATTAATATACGAATGAGCTATAGCTTATATAATCAATGGGTGTAATAACATTAAATAAAATTATAAAATACTTATAAAGAATTGTAATTCAAGCATCTATCATTATTCTATAATATTCCTTTCTTTTAATGACTTTATTTGGGCAGTGGTAAAAAATCATATTATTATTCTGAAAAAGAATATATAAATTTTTTAATTAGTAAAATTATTGTAATATGACTATAAAATTTAGTTTAAAATAAAAAATTATTATGTATATTATAAAAATAATTGAATAAAATCTGATTTAATAAATTTTATGGCAATAATGAATTTGATAGAATGTAAATATTTTGTACTTTAATAGAAAATCACATGTAAAGAGGTTAGGTGACCAACGTTGGAATCACTTGTAAAATCCATCTCCAGTCCTTTAATTCCTTTAATTCCTACTCTTACAATCATTCTTAATCATTGATATTATTCAAATTATTATCACAGTATTATTCGTTTCTATTAAAATAATTCATACGAATTAATAATGAATATACGTATTTTTATTTATATATATATATATATATATATAAGGTGGGTACATGTGACCGATTTAGCATACAAACTGCACAACTAATAAAACAATCGAATCAAATGGCACATTAATTATTGAAAAATGGAAATTAATATGAGAAAATATTATATAAGAATTAAGTTATAAGAATTAAGTATGATGATTATAAAATATAATTGACCATTATACATTCTTACATGTGCAGCAATACCACATATGTGTATTGTAATATATACTGCCGATAATTATAATTAAAATTTATCATTCAGAAAATTGTATAGACTGAATTATATTTTTTTATGTAAATTTAAAAATGATAATCGTAAACAAAAACAATTTTTTCATTTAATTATACATTATATTATTACTCGTCTAGGAATGAAATTCTATAATTTTATATTGTCTTAAATGAAAAAACAAGGATATTTTGTTTTTAACTTAAATTACTTTATATGTAAAGCAAATGAAAATTTGTGTATATTGTTGTAATTCATGAAAATATTTTAATAAAAACATTAATTACTATAATCGCGTTGAGAATGTAAACGATCGGGAAATAGCTTAATGAGCGTGTAAAATTGCATTTCACAATCCATGGAAATAAAAGGAGGAAATGTTTGTTAATGATACATTTTATAATACATTAAATTAAGTAATGAATAGTTATGATATTAATATTTTTTTACAACCATAGTCTGATAATTGATCAAATAATTATTTGGTTAAATTTTAAATATCTTATAAAACATTCAAAATATTGTTAACTTTTATTTAAAATTAAAAATAAATTGATAAACAAGTATTTGAAATCAATAACTAAATTAATTTAAAAAATCAATTTATTTATAAGATTTTCAGTTTCAATAGTTTTTTGATTATTGTTAAAAAGAATTGTTAACATCATTATGATTTACTAATAAAAGAAAAACAAAGAGGAAAAATTAAATAAACAAACGTAAATTTCTGAACGTTAAACAGCATCAATTTATTTATATTAATTTGTAGAAAATTATTTATATATCATTATATCCACGCGTATAATCAATTATAATTAATGTTTTCATTTATTGTACCACAAATGCCAATAACAAACTGCTAATATATTTCAATTATCATATAGCGTGGAAAATAAATGTCGAAGATACGTTGGAATGTGAAAACAATACGGATAGTATTAAATAAAATAGTAAAGAAATTGTAAAATTTATGGTATTGTTTGTATGGTAGTATGAGTATGTTTAAAGATTTTATAATGTACAATACGAGATTCAAATTCGCTTAAGATGTATATTATTTCGTCATTTCTTTGTTCTTACTACAAGATCGTAAATTGTAACATTTCTATGTACTATCGTATTGAAAATTGAAAAATTGAAAAAGCTCTAATCAATTGCCGGGAAACCAGCTGCGAAATTGTTTTCACTAACTACATAAGTTTTCACTAAATTAAATATCATTAAACATACTCTATATGTATTTCCAAATATCGATGCTGTAATAGCAATTCCAATACATTATACCAGTACACATTGTACCATTTTAATCATCATTAAAAATCACTAAACATAGTTGTCTCGAAGTTGTCTCGAGGACTGCAAATAATTTTTGCACATTTTCTATTTATAAGATCATTCGAAATTAATTATCAAGATGTCTTTCAGGCTGGTAAATACTTACATTCAAAAATCACAAACAAATATTCTTTTTCCGAAAGATTGAAAATTATATAATTATTTAAAATACTTAAAGAAAGAATTCGATGGTAAAAATATACTTTAATTATTTATTTATTTTTTAACTAAATATGTAGTATTGGTCACACAAACATTCAACTCTATACCTTATTTAGTCAGATTTTTTAACGACAAGTACAAATACACCTTCTGACTTTTTAAAAACATTTAAAAATAACGTTCATTAAAACTGATAATGATCACGCCTCTCCGCTTAACCAAGCAATTTAATTTCAGAGATAATTGTTTAAAGGCTTACTTGTTCTAGTTTGGTGCATCATTATTATAAAACATATTATTTAGAAAAATATAAGCTAAGAGCACAATTGATAGTCATTAAAAAATTACTGTTTTGAACTTTTAATCGTATTGAGTTTGAATGTAAATTAAATGATCAGAAGCTTTTCCCTTGATGCGTTAGATTTACAACCTTGCGTTATTTTGGATATCAAGCCATATTCCATCATGGTCATATTACAATAATTAATAAGCTATTAAACAGCCTAAAGAATCGGATCGGCACGCACATTGTATGGAAAAAAATATCGAAAACAATACGTGTTTAAATAAATTTACGAATAAACCGGTTTAATTTTTGCTTCTTCTTCTTCTTCTTCTTCTTCTTCTTCTTCTTCTTCTTCTTCTTCTTCTTCTTCTTCTTCTTCTTCTTCTTCTTCTTCTTCTTCTTCTTCTTCTTCTTCTTCTTCTTCTTCTTCTTCTTCTTCTTCTTCTTCTTCTTCTTCTTCTTCTTCTTCTTCTTCTTCTTCTTCTTCTTCTTCTTCTTCTTCTTCTTCTTCTTCTTCTTCTTCTTCTTCTTCTTCTTCTTCTTCTTCTTCTTCTTCTTCTTCTTCTTCTTCTTCTTCTTCTTCTTCTTCTTCTTCTTCTTCTTCTTCTTCTTCTTCTTCTTCTTCTTCTTCTTCTTCTTCTTCTTCTTCTTCTTCTTCTTCTTCTTCTTCTTCTTCTTCTTCTTCTTCTTCTTCTTCTTCTTCTTCTTCTTCTTCTTCTTCTTCTTCTTCTTCTTCTTCTTCTTCTTCTTCTTCTTCTTCTTCTTCTTCTTCTTCTTCTTCTTCTTCTTCTTCTTCTTCTTCTTCTTCTTCTTCTTCTTCTTCTTCTTTTTCTTCCTCTTCCCCTTTACTTCTTCTTCTTCTTCTTCTTCTTCTTCTTCTTCTTCTTCTTCTTCTTCTTCTTCTTCTTCTTCTTCTTCTTCTTCTTCTTCTTCTTCTTCTTCTTCTTCTTCTTCTTCTTCTTCTTCTTCTTCTTCTTCCCCTTTACTTCTTCTTCTTCTTCTTTTTTTACTTCTAAATAGTCGTGGAAAAACTTACGCCAGTAAAATGCTAATAAAACTTCTGGATATTTGGGACAACACCGGTAAAGTGAATGGTACCGGACATACCATGACATTCGCATTTGTCGATTAACGCTTTCAGCCGTTCAAGATTGTAACTAAAAAATTAGGCTACATAAATAAATACTGCATGAATTTAGATAAACATCTTTCAAAGAAATAACTGAAAAAGCTGTTAACAATGACTTATAGAGAGAGGGTCAGTAGCTGTCTGATATAATCAGCTGAAGCATATGGATTCTGAAATATAAGCAAGCAATCACAAAACATTATCAATATTCATTATCTCGTGTTGGATTGAAACGTTTTTCAGAAGGTACATACGAATGTACATACTTTTGTACATACATTTCCGCGCTTATAGATTGCTATATTTCTAGTCTTCTAGTCTTGTTTCTTATCATTTACCGAGTAATTGAATAAGTAACTCATTTTTAAATATGTAGCCGAGAGCTGCTGCCCCCTCGGAAAAGATACGACAAGTTGTATTGTAATTGTTGGTAGCTACTTTACCAAATGCTGGTAAAATAGAGGAGGAGCCGCGCTTACACGAATACATGTTACTTCCGAACATGGAAGCACGTTTTGTTTACAGTAGATAGACCACCGAGTTATTTGTATTTTAGGAAAAATGGGAAAGAAGAGAAAAAATGATGACAATGACGAATCAGAATTTGATCCAGTTGCCAAGCATTTACGCACTACTCATATAAAAAATCAAGAAAAACGTCTTATTGTTATATTAGAAAATGCTCAATTGGAATCTGTTAAGGTGAGGTTAAATTTTGTGTTAAATTTGTTGTTCATTATTTTACATTGTGATGATTAAGAACACAGCTAGATTAATTGCTATGATTTATATATTTAACTTTACCTAACTATTGACTCTGAATATTTAAGTAAAATATAGTAATGTTTAAGGTAGTAAACGCTCGTGGGATATCGTAGTTAAAGCAATAAGGACATTAATAATGCACCGTAAAATGCAAAAATTAACTTGTATAAGAATTGTATGTTGAAATTTTTAAAATACATTTGTGTAATAATTGTGTGTGCGCGCGTGTGTGTATGCGCATATAGACGAAAGCATTATAAAATATTCTTCATTTTAACTTAGATTGGTACTAGTTTCGAATTGTTAAATTGCGATGATCATGCAAGTATTTTAAAGAAAAATAAAAGGGAGCCTGGAAGTAGTAGACCAGATATAACCCATCAGTGTCTATTAATGCTTATGGACAGTCCTTTAAACAGAGCTGGTTTACTGCAAGTGTATATTCACACAGAAAAGAATGTTTTAATAGAAATTAATCCACAAACAAGGATACCACGTACATTTAAGCGCTTTGCTGGACTAATGGGTAAATACAAATATATTTATATGTAACAGTGCTCCTTAATTCATATTAAGTAAACATATAAAGTAGCCAAAGTAAACTTTGTAAAACTAGAAATATATTTGATCTATCTTGTACCAAAATATATCCTGCTTATTTAAAAATATTAATTATTATTATTGATTATAAATAATTTATGATTGTAGTTTAGTAATTTGTATTAAAATATAAATTTAAAAAAACCAATCTGCTCGACCCACATGTGCCAACTATATTAAAATAATATAATTTTAACGATTATTTAATGCGATTAAATAATTTGTATTTAAAAAATTTGTTCATTTTAGTACAATTACTTCACAAGTACAACGTTCGTGCATCCGATGGACCTATGAAGTTACTTAAAGTTATTAAAAATCCTTTAACAGACCATTTACCAGTGGGATGTAAAAAAATAGCCATGTCATTTAGCTCTAATAAAATGATGCATCCAAGAGATTTTGTTCCTGAGAACGAACCTATAGCAATAATTGTCGGAGCTATGGCGCATGGTCAAGTAAGTTATACGACAATATTATGATAAAGTTGTGAAACGAGCATCGAGAAATATGTACCTTTCATACTTGTTGATTAATTTGTTTAGGTGAAAACCGATTATACAGAAGAAACTTTTTCCATTAGTAACTATCCACTTTCTGCCGCTATAACTTGTACAAAATTATGTTCAGGATTTGAAGAAATTTGGGGAATACAGTAATTTTTATTTTGTTCTATAATAAAGCAAGTTTTTTAAAACGTCAATATTCAATGTTTATATTATGTTATCATTAGAATATATGAAATTATTAAGAATTTTATAATATAATTTCAAAATAATAGTTTATTGTAAATAATTTCAATTGTTATAAGGTATAAGAAAATGCTTTTAAATTCAAGCTAAGCACATCACAATATTAATATTAAATATAAACAATCAAAATGAAAAAGAGAGTTTTGATGTAAAATAGAAAAATTGGAATAACCACAAAATGTCATTTAATAACAATTATAAAAATGTTAAATGATAATGAATATATAATGCTTATAAATGTTACATTTATAAATTTATATTTCGGTAAATGAACTATTTGACAAAATCTATAAATAAATAATATATAAGAACGAAGAAGACAATTTATTTATGATATGATATGTAAAGATACAAATAAAACAAATCCTTTTGCCATTTTTTTGCATACGATCTGATAGATTTGATAAAAAATAATACAAATATATATATATATATGTATATATATATATATATATATATATATATATGTATATATATACGTATATATAAAAAATTTATAAAGACATTTTATATAAAATGTACGTAGTATCTAAATCAATCCTTTAATTATAATGTTACAAAGGGTATAAAGTTTTATTTAATTTTACATTGTAAAATGGCCGAAAACGAATAATTTTACTTATCGGTCATTTCTCATGTTATCTATTATTAATATGTAGAAATGGCTAATCTATGGACTAATATGGTTTCGACGTTGTTTTATTATATAATGCGTGTGTGCGCGCGCGAACGTTCCTACACGCGTATAGATATTCTTGCTAATCGAATGAATTAAGCAAGAGGCTTTCTTCAAACATTATTTATCAAGTAATTATTTAATTATGTGCAAATCTTATTAGTCAAAGTCATTTGCGTAATTAATTCACTAAAAGGTTTATAAAGGATTACAATTAAATAAGAATGCAAGTTTAAGGATGGCTTACATAATACAAATCTACGTTGAATAATGGCGATATTGAAAACGGAGTAATGATTAGTAGTAAGAAGGCAAGTATAAAGTCGGTAAGAAACATTGTTATCAGAATTGTAAATCTCACGGCCGTTATTTTCGTTAAAATTCAATATATGGCGCGCGCGGTCTGCCATCCTTCAGGATGTCTCCCATTTTAAAAGTGTGGTTGAGGGTGGGTCGGTGGGTTGTTTAGTTGGTGGATTAATCGGTTGGTTGGTTGGTTGGTTGATTGGTAGGTAGATTGTTTGGCTGACTAGCTGATTATTGTCTCTCTCTCTCTCTCTCTCTCTCCTTCTCTCTCTCTCTCTCTCTCTCTCTCTCTCTTTCATTTTTATTTGCCCTCGGCTGGCCGTCAAGCCGAACCTTCTGGTAAGTTCCATGAGCGGCGCTTCGAGGCAGAGGGCCATAATAGTTGAGCGGCCATTGGCTGAAATCGAGGACGCCGCCGAGTGTCCCTCCAATCCCGAGCTCGCGGTCTCGCTAAATCAGCTAGTGAAAATTAGGGATGGCCGGAAGTGCCCTTGAGAGAGCGCCGTCGCCACCGCCGTCACCACCGCCGTCATCACCGCCGTCACTACCGCCGCTGTCACCGCCACCGCCGCCAACGCCGCCAACGCCGCCACCGTCACTGCCACTGGGAGCAAGCAGCAGCGCGTCATCGGGGAATCGGGAAAGAAAAATAAAAGCCAGCAGCCGCTCTGACTAGCGTTGTGCGAAATAATTTCGGGCACCCCGTGGCAGAGAAAGGCAAAGGCGTCGAGGAGGCAAAGGAAATATTTTAACGGAGCCGCGCGCGTGGGGAAGGCCCCCGTCGTATTATCGGTAATAGGGAAAAGAAGAAAGCCAAGAGCAAGCGACTAGTCGCTGGCCGTTTTTCTCGCCAGTCGGTCCACACGGCCGGACTTTTCACTCGGCAGTTCGGGAGGCGTGGAAGCCATGTTGCCGCGTGTTGACCGCGAGTGCATATCGGGAACGTAACACGTAGTCCCGATGATTAATGTAAAGTTGCGCGATTCTCGATGCCCCGCCGGCGAGAATTAATTTTTCATGCGCTTTTACCGTACGCTCGCTTCTATTTTTGTGCGCCCTTGGCGGAGAAGTTCGGTATTCTCACGGGCAGGAAGCAGCTTCTGCGCAGCTTGTGAGTGTGCGTCATGTATATACGATATTGTTCAAGTTGATTGACAAGTACGGGCATTATAGCGTTAACGCGCCGTAAGCTGGCCATTCGCTAAATGACCAACGGCTTTTGAAAATGTTAATTCGCTTGTACGTTACGGTCACTTTTTCATGTACCTAGTACTCGTAAGTTTTCCCGCTATCCCCTACCGACGATCGCTTGGGATCCGATGGAAAACAGGAAGCGGCTCTGCGCATATTTTGAATATTTACATAATTGTATATGATCCAATGAACAATTGAATTTTAAAATAATTATACGTTATACGTTGTTTAATAAATCATCAATAAGCCTATAAAAGTCATGTTCTTTATTGAGAATTTTGTCAAAATTCATGCTCTTTTTCCCCCTTGAGGCGTTTGTTGTCTGTCGGTGATCAGGTAACACGACGAAATTTCTGAAATTGATGCTGCGCCCTACGGCTCGGCTCGAGGCGATCAGCGGGGCGTACATCGAACATCGGACGAAGGGTACGGATCACCATAATTTAACGAGATAGCTAACGAAATTCATGGTTTGCCGCACGAAAACCGGGGATTACGTGATCAGCGCACCTCAGTCTATCAATCTACTCGCGTAGTCGCTCGAGCTTATAAAAATGGCCGACATTGTCGATTGATGCATCAGTTTTCGCCTACTCCACATACAATCCTCGAGCACCTCTGCACGCACATACGTAGAACACGTAAGCAAATGGGAGGCGCGAGGGCCCAGGCTGCTCTTTAATCGTTTTGCCGAAAAGAAAGCAATCGGTAACAAAAGAATCAGCTATAATAATAGACCATTGAAAAGCATATCTCTCAATTCATACAGACGCTCATATTAATCCATGACATTAAAAGGTTTGTGGCGAATAAACAAAAGGTAGCTCCACAACGTGCGTTAGGGGGTGCGCTGCGCCTCGTTGTCGCGTAACCATAAATCGGAAAATTGGCGATAATCGAGGGAAGTAGAGAGTCCGGCCGGGACGCGCGCGTGGCTGAGATCGTTGAAAGATCGGCCGAAATTCAATAAACGGTGCGACGCCCATGCGGCGGCGAGTGCAAAAACCTCGTGGAGGCTACGTTGTGGAGGGACCTTGAATGGAGGAGGCCGAGAGTGAGATAGATAGTGCGAGTGAGTGTGTGTGCGTGCGTGCGTGCGTGCGTGCGTGCGTGCGTGCGCGCGCGAGCGAGAGAAGGGCGCCATTTTAATGCACGCCTCCCCCGCGCATGCGATCCAACTGTCGCGACACGGCTTTCACATTTTGCGACGGCGGCGGCGGCGGCGTCGGCGTCCGTGCTGGCGGTGGCGGTAGCGGTGGTAGCGACGGCTGCTGCTGCTGCTGCTGCTGCCACCACCACCACCGCCGTCGTTGCCGCCGACGCCGCCGCCGCTGCTCCTGCTGCTGTTGGCGGCAGTCGCGTGTGTGCGTTCATTCTCACACGACGCGGGCACGGCTAACGGCTCGCGGCTGTGCGTACGAGTCGACCGATAAAACGTCCGTGCGTGCGCTCAAAGTTTGGTTTTTCTTCCCTCCTACGCTCTTCACCTTATAACCGGTCTATCCGTCCGGCTTACGTTGATGTAACTGACGAGCGTAAGTGTGCAGGCAGAAGCTGAGACTGTCTAAATTATGTTCCGCGCATTGGTAACCGATAGTGTACTTTCTGGGTGAAACGAGAAACTCTGGTATTGGACTGTTTTTCTTATTCTCTCTACCTCACCACTTCAGCCCCCTCCCTCCACCCCGAGCGCCATCCCGTGTCTCTGTCCTCCTGCCCTTTGGCTCTTCTTCCATCACACTCACGTCCACTCTCCCACCCGTTGTAACTCCCTCGCTCTCCGGCTCCCACTCTCTCTCTCTCTCTCTCTCTCTCTCTCTCTCTCTCTCTCTCTCTCTCTCTCTCTCTCTCTCTCTCTCTCTCTCTCTCTCTCTCTCTCTCTCTCTCTCTCTCTCTCTCTCTCTCTCTCTCTCTCTCTCTATATATATATATATATATATATATATATACCCCTCCCCCTCCTGCCATTCCTCTTCGTCGCTCGCTCCCATTTTCGTTATGCACGAAAAAAGAGAAAAGGATTCGAGTGACGGAGGTGGTGGCTTCGATGGTCGCTAAAAAGAAAGTTCAAGTTGTCGCATGCCGAAATTTTTTTTTTTTTCGAAAGTTGGGCGCGCACTTTTCCGTTAAAAAACAAGGAAAAAGGAGGTAATGTGGCGAGAAAAGGAAGCACCCGTGCACACAAACACGTCCTCGGTGGCGCTCGAGACTGAAAAAGTGAGAGAGTTGCGCGCGCGCTTATTCGTTGCGTGCGTGCGTGAGCAACCTGGAGAGGGGGGAGGGAGATATCCGAGGAACGTACGAAACGATGGAAAGAAACCGTTAATTTTTTGATCGTATAATCAACCGAGTGATACTCCTTACCTGCCAAATAAAAGCTGTACCGTTACTTTCTTTGGTATACACGCAAACACACGACGAGGGAAAAGATTTTGCTAATTCAATAAACAAACAAACTCGTATACGTAGCCGATAAATTGATGGTAATAATATACCTCCGGAATCAAATTCTCCCATTTTAGGTACGCGTTTTTCTTATTGTGGAAATCTGTATCTGTGCGTGTATACGCGAAGAAAAACAGTTCCGTGGTGAGAGCGAGATAGAGGAAAGGGAATAATCGAGAGACGCATGCACGCACGCATGTAAAAGAAACAAAAAACGAAAATTCGACCGCAACACTTGCTTGCCTATTATCTGCGAGCTTAAAGAGAGGAGAGATCGTCGCCGACGAGCCTGTGGATTTTGTCCAAAAGTCCCGTTCGAGGCGATGTCCCTTCCTTCTCTTCAGTCGTGAATTCGGTAAGTCTCCAAGCCCGTCGTAAAGACCGCGTAAAAGCAAAATCAAATAATTTTACGCCCGGGCAAGTGTTGTAAATATAATACAATACATAGGAGAAGGAAAGGAACGCGTGTGGGTAGACATCTGCAATCCTGCTGATAGTTTATATATATATATATATATATATATATATATACATAAATATGTATGCGTATGCGTGTGTACATTAATCATATATATGTATATATATACGTCTTCACAGGCGCGCGCGCGCATGCATGTTTTATATGAATATGCGTAGGTGCGCAAATGTGTTATAGGTGATAGAGAAAAGAGCAACATTATCACCTAAAAGTCAATCTCGAAGTTATTGGTCGAAGGTACGAAGGCCTCTTTCACTATTTGAGGTTAGATTCTTGTCCGCTCAGCTGGCGTTCGCTAAATTCCTAATTCAGGCGCGCGCGCGCCAAAGAGAATCAAATTCTTTCGCGTGTCATTATCCTGTCGACCGCGGACTGTGTTATATTCGCTCGGAAAGAGAAAAGAGAGAAATCGACGATTCTGTTAGACAATTTCTGGAGGGCGGGGGAAAGAGAGAGAAATAATCAACGCGTTTGTCCGTGCGCACGCGCGCTTGCATGTATCCAAGCGAGAAAGAGATAGGAAACGTGTGAGCACGGTGAGAAAAAGTGATTAGCGGCGGGCGATGGGGAGAATGACGGTCACTTTACCAAGTGCAAGGACACGTGCAAGGATGACTCGTCTAGGGCTTGATGCGTCATAACACAGATGTTTGTTTGAATTTACCGGAGTGCCGTTATTTTTTTTTATTAGCTAAAATCACAACTAGTCCTTGCAATACGCCGCAAAAACATTTGTTATATTGAATATATCATTATTATTTTATATACTTATGATATTTAGTATGTAATACTTTGTGATTATTAGTTTAAGTAATTCTAATGAAAATTACTTATTAGCTCTATACTGACACTTAATATTAATCTATACATTTTAACGTTAATTAAAAATTGTAAATTTTACATTTAAAATTAATAAATAAATTTTAATTTTTAATAGTGTTTATTATCCGTTTATTTCACCGTTTCATTTCAAATTAGTTATGAATTATTGTAATTTTACTCAAATATTTTTGTAAAATTATACGAATTTTTTTTTTTTTTTTGTTTTTGTTTTGTTTTGTTTTGTTTTTTATACCTATGGACATACATAAGGTATTCGTTTCTTACACACGCACCCACCTCCATTTTCGTGTGTATATGCGTGTGCACAATAAAAACAAATTGTTAAATTTATACAATCTATGTACCTAAAGTATTTTCATTAGTTTGAACGATATTAAAAAGTTATAATTGTTCGGAAACTTCAATAGTTTTTGACATTTTATTTATTTATTTATTTATTAAGTTATGTCATTTTTAATAAAAACAATTTAAAGCACATATTTTTAATGTTCAAATGGTAAAAAATTGAAAATTCACATGAATTTATGAAATATATACTTAAAACGACAAATTTTTTTATTTGCGGAGAATTATATTGATATATCAATTATATCAAACATTTAAGTTTTTAAGCTTGTGATATTGATGTAGTATTTAATTTTATAAAAATGTATTTGTTGTCATTGACATTCAATAGTATATAGCGGATATTAACTAAGCTTTAATCGATATTTGCTTATGTGTTTTGACAAAAATCAATATATCATTTGCAGAATGCAAATTTAATACGTTTCTTCAAAATTATTAAGTAAAATGTTTTAAATTACATGATTCATGTAATGCAGCTCTCATCGGGCATGTTAATTTATCAAATCAAATTTATTAGTATTAAAAAAAAAAAAAAAATAAATAAATAAATAAATAAAACGTATCCCGAAATTATTAAAGCAATACTTTTTTTATATAATTATTTTAAAGGGAAGCGTGAAAATTTACTATTTTTAACTGTTAAATTCTTTATATTGGGATAAAATAATCATTCGTTTAAACCATGTTAATATACTTTTCTCAATTAACAAATATAATTTTCAATATATTTTCAAATGTAAAAGACTTTAGTAATTTAGTAATTTAAGTTAAAGTTTGAGAGTTTAATATATAATCATACACACACATTGATAAAACTTAAAGCTTGAAATATGTTCAGCTTTGAAAGGATTGTTTATTATATGCGTGCATTCGCGGAAATCATTAAAATTATGTATTATATGAGGTCTTTGTCATTTAATTAGACAGACGAATATACACAATTGAGTAAAATATTCGCTTTGAACATTAGATTTAAATCCGCTGTTGGGAAAGCGCATTAGGCTTATTTATTAGCAAGGGCAGGAAGGCGGAAACAAATGGTCGTTTGGGCAAGCATTGAAGTAAAAGGAGGAAGCCTAATAGTCATGTTTACTATAAGGAAAGACAAAGACAAATTTGACGCGTATCCGAGTCATATCCCGTAAATGAAGAAAGCGACAAATCAGACAAACATCACGCAAGAAAAGTCGGGTCATTCATCGGGGCCGAGTAAACGGTCAGTTTGACAGTCATTCATCGACGCGCTTACGTCATTCCTCTCATATCGTAAAGTTCGCGGTAGTGGGGCGGGCGACGGCGGCGACGGCGGCGGCAAAGGCAAGCGCCTCCTCTCGGGAACTCAAATCGAATGGGATCGTCAGCCGCCCAACCGTATATACATGGGGGAACGACGGAACCCGGGCCACTCTCGTCCGTCGGGTAAGAATGGGCGACCATTGTCAGCGGTGCATTCGGTCCAAGCTCCGTTAATAAAAGGAACGACCTCGTCATGCGCTCGTGGGACGCCATCTCCGTCGGGCTAAGCATGCGGAAGTCGTGGCCCGTTGGCTGCTGATCGATAGCCCCGCCCCAGTGAAACTCCAAGAAGAAGGTGCGTGCACGTTCGAATCGCCTCTACACGTCGACTCACCCTTAGCGCGCGCGCGTCTCTTTCTCTCTTCCACTCCTCGTCGCTGCCGAGGGCGCACGCGCTTGTGTCTATTCACTGTGCCTTATTCCTTACTCCGCTGTATGTGCTTTTGCGTGCGTGCGGGCGCGCTTATTTTATACATATATGCATGTACGTGTATATATATATATATATATATATATATATATATATATGATGGATGCGCGCGAGCGTACGTAGGTGCGCGTGTGTGTGTGTGTGTGTGTGTGTGTGGGCGATTGCGTGCGTAAGTGCTGCGCGCGCGCCACCGCGCAGTACTCCGTTTTCCTCGTTTCATGCGTCCGCCAGTGTTGCTGATGCGGGACTGCGACGTTGCCACGTGTCTCATGCATTCGAATACTCCCGTATTTTCTCTCCCTCTAGCTTGCGGGTATCGTGAATTTTTTTTCGTTTCGCGTGTGATGTGCGACACGTCTGCTTCTTCTGCTCCATAATCGCGGCAGTTATAGGCACCGAAAGCGGTATACCTCGCGAAGTTTGCTGCGTGACCGGGCTTTCCCACTGAAATTCACGCTGGATTTGTGGGTTATGTACGTGTGTGGAAGCTGGGATTGCCGTGAGAGAAGCCGACGGTACTTGTGCCGTGGAAAAAGAGAGAGAGGGAGAGGGAGATATGGGCTTTCCGATCGTTGGATATTTTATGCTGTAGTTTTGTGGCTCGTGTGTTACAGGCAGGCATGGCTATCTTGCATCATTTTGGATTTGCAATTTTTTTTTATCCTTTTTTATTTTGCGTTTCTCGTTATTACAATTTTAAGTTTTTCAGCTCGATTTTTATTTTCGTTTTTTTTTTTTTAAATTTCTTTTAAATTTGTTTAACGACGAGTTTTAATTCATTCGCAGT